ATTTTAACAAACTCTAAAATCTACCCCGTCGAATTCTGCCGATTGAGATGGAATATCTAGTAAGGCAACGGCATCCCGCTCGACAGACTGAACAAATCCGGCTTTTCTGCAACACTTGTATAATTTCTGGTTGAACATTAGACCAAGTTTCAAGTTCAGTTGGGACCGGAACGATAGGATAATCCCATGAATGTTCCTTCTTTTGCGTATCGTTAGATCGGGAATTGACAGGTCTGCTTGAGATGTTGAAAAGCCTAAAACAAAGACCGCATCACACCCTGTCCAACCAATTACTGCCCACATTTTCCTGCCCAGCAGTCCCTGCCGGGCCGGTTTATGTGAAGTAAAAGAGTGGAGGGTAAACTAAGAAAAGAAGAGGAGGAATGTCAGCTAAATAATGATAATACCAAGGTGAGAAGAAAATTAAACAAGAACGAAGGGAAAGTTGAAGATACAAGTCGGTTAGGAGAAGGGGAAGGTTTGGTACTGCCACCCTAGAGCATCTAACTGACGCTCGAAACCCTCTACCGTAGACTCCCTAACCACGTGCGCCGGAAGCGAGTTCCAACGTTCAATAACTCGACGCGACAAGCGAGTTTCCGTCCTTACCCGGTCAGAACGCTGTTTGTGCATCTTCAACGGGTGACCTCGGAGACTAGGCAGCTTGGCTGGACTAAATAGCCAGGACAAGTCTGGACCGATCTTACGCGTTAAGATACGGTAAGTGAGAATCAAGTCTCCTCTAATTCTGCGGAACTTATCCAAAACGCAACTTCCAAAGCATTACCTGGAGCGACAGATGCAGTTCATACCGCATTTGAATCAATAGTATGCAATTTTGCCACAGCTCATTGCATGAGCTGTGCTCGTTAGGGCATAATAAAAATTTTGATGATCTCTTGGTCTAGAGTTTGAATTTGTGATTTCATGTCTGGAAGCAGAAACTCAGGTGTAATATTTGTGTTTTCTTACACCGGCGTGTATAGGACAGTTGTCCACTGATAGGATAAAGAAGCGTTTCTTTTTCGTCATTTTCTTCTCGATACTTCTGATCCACCCCTCAAATATGACAACAGTCATCCACGCAGATCGGTTTGATCTCCAGGTGACTGGAAGGTTTTCAGGATTTAGGTTTTTGAACGCACGTGGTCTAGCTGATTTACCAATGACCAGGGGCTTTAGCTTCTCCCCACTTGAGCTAGCGCACAACAGAACTGTGAAACGTTCTTTAGAATGTTTTACACTCTTACATTTATCACACTTTATAACCAGGCTTCTGTTAGGAATCGCCTTGTAAGAGAGACCGCACTCGTCAGCGTTAAAAATGTCGTCATTGTTGAAGCCTTTGCTGAAGTTAGAAAGTTTTTTCCATGAAGTATTGAACAAACTCTTCAGGCACTTCATTGGATTCACCACACAAAACTCACTGGGAAATTTCGTCGGAGTTTAAATTTTCTCTAACCAACCATTAGATACCTGGAAATCTGCAATCCCAAATTCTTGTGAGAATCTTTTAGCAATTTCTTGAATCATGGGCCCAGCAATCCGAGCGTTAGCCACTCTCATTTGCTTGCACGAGCGCAGCGTAACATCATTGAATTCATCGCGCGAAGTTTTCCGCCTTCTACTCTGTTGATCTCCTCCCATTATCGTATCTTTCCAAGTACTCATATTTATGTTTTTGGCTTTTGCTAACCGTTATCTTGCAAATACCAAAATTCTCTGTCGTGTTTCCTTGGTTGCTGCTTTCCAAAAATGCAGCAGATTAATTTTTTCCTTCAAGGTCAACTTTCCTAGGTCTTTACTATTTACGTAGCATTAATTGCCTACAATAATTAAACTCAGTTGATTTCACCCTCAGGTCGACACCAAATAGAGCAAGATAACCACTGGAGAATGTGGGCGTAAACGTCAATCTCGCCACAATCCAACATGTTAATGTACTGGTGCTTAGACCTACTGGTTACTCATGTGTTTGACAGCCACTCCAACTCCTGATTGCGGCCTGCGGGATGAGTGGACACGTTCATAGGAGTAGACGAAGACTTGCTTGTGGACAGGTTAGGGAGGTTAAATACAAATCATTCTTAGTTATTCCATGAGCTCGGACCTGTGGGGACCCACAATAATCTAGGTCCGTGGCAACGAGACTGGACGTTAACGTGGTGCGACGGTTTGCGTACCTCATTGACCCATTAAGCTATACTGGGTGATGCCTCCGGACACCTTGAGAGCTACTCCTACCAGGTTGGTCAGTGGTGAGAGGTCAGACAAACTCAGTCTCCTGGTCCTCCGGATTGGGGGTTTGAGATGGGATGGCGTCCATTTCTGTAAAACTAAATTACTGCCTCCTCACCGTTGCCCTGCGGACAGGCTTTTGAGCCAAAGGCTTTGGATGAGGACCCTAATCGTCCTCCTGTTTAAGTCTGGGCGCCCTGGTAGTATCTCAGCCCACATACAACCATGACATTTTCTTCAAACATAAACTTCATTCTGCATCGGCCGTCGCGCAGATTATCAAGGGTCGCCTTATCTGGTGCCTACAGCAGGGCGGATAAGTGACAACATGCTACGGCTGGCGTGTCTCTTCTTTCTTTTCCACCTTCTCTTACTCTTATCCGGACCCCGATTACTGATCTTCCTTCTATAATTCCCAGCTTAATTGACATCAACCAAAGTGCTACTGGAGTAGAACTATCTGTAGCCACTACCCCACAGTACCTATCGGCAAAAGTCCCTTATAAGGCCGCGCTATCTCGTTTCCAGGGCGACATTCAACGTTCGCACTTTAAGACAAACAGGTCGACAGGCTGCACTCGCACGCACCTTGGACACACTGGGTATCGATGTGTGTTGTGTGTCCGAAACTAGGAGCAATGGCACTAACGGGGTTATTGAATTAACTGCACCCGGCTTATCCCCACGTTATTGATCGTACGCATCCGAAGACGCCGATGCAGCACTCACGGGTCAAGCTGGTGTGGGCATCATTCTCAGCCCCAAGGCTGATCCATCGTTGATTGATTGGATTCCGGTGAACAGCCGTTTATGTGCAGCCCGTTTGACGACATCAGCTAAGGTTGATTCACTAAGTAGTACAAAACGCTGTTTGTTTGTGGTTTCCGCTTACGCTCCTGCCGACTGCAGTTCTAATGCTGTCAATGATACATTCTATTACGAACTGAACGCGCTACTACGCAGTGGTACTAGTTCAGATATTATAGTACTTGCAAGGGATATGAAGGCACAAGTAGGGCATCTGAGCTCTTCAGAAGCTCAGCCGGGTGATAATTGTGGGCTTAACTCCGAACGGACTGAAAACGGTGGGTGTCTGCTGCAGCTGTGCGGAGCACCACTTGTTTCTTTGTAGCACTGCTTTTGGACACACTGGGCGTCGAAGTGCCCCTTGGCGTCCTCCTGTAGTTGGCCAGCAATGGACCCAAATTGACCACATAGCCATAAGTTGCAGATGGCGTGGTTCCATCTTGGATTGCTGCTCGTGATGGAGTGCCTGCGTCGAATCTGATCATGCCTTGGTACGTTGTCGCTTCTCCATGAACTTTACCGAAAGGCACACCAAGTGTCTCTTTTGGTTGGCAACTGAGAAATTGTCTCAGCCCTTGGTCAGACAAGCTTATCAAGGCGCACCGCATACCGAACTTCCGCTGTCTTATCCTAGTGACACTGCGCTTCAGTGGAATAGAATCTCGGCCGCCATGCACAACGCATGGGCATCTGCTTGTGGCACTATTCATCGTCACCGCACCAGTCACTGGATATCCGAGAGGTCGGTGAACCTGTTGGAATCTAGAATAAACCTCCTGGCTGGCTCTGAACACAAGGTGACCACACGGGCTATCAGGCGTGAACTAAAGCAGAGCTTACGTGCTGACAAGGAAGCCTGGTGGACCAGTAGGGCTCAAGAAGTGGAGGAGGCAGGAGCAGTAAGCAGTTAGCGCAAACTCTTCCAGCTAATCCGCACCACTGATCCCAGGAAACCAGGCGTCAGTGAGACAATCAGAGATAGCGCGGGTGCACTGACACACAATAAGGAGCGCCGTACGGTTCGTTGGGTGGAACCGTTTCAAGATCAGTTTAGCTGGCCCCCTGCTCCTGGACCTCTTTCTACTCATGTGATGCAGGACGAGCCATTGACGGTTAGTTCAGAGCCTCCGTCGGAGGCCGAGGTCCGAAACGCGCTCACAGCCCTTAATTGTTTTAGTGCCGCTGGCCCGGATTCCCTCCCACCTACACTATTTAAGGATGGAGACGAGGTCCTCTGTAAAGCACTGACCTCCCTATTCGAACGTATCTGGAAGGGAGAGAGTATCCCGGCTTAGTGCAGCGAATCGATTATAGTGGCAATATACAAAAAGCGTTGTTGCATAGATTGTTCTAACCACAGTGGTATAAGCCTAACGCCAGTTGTGACAAAATTACTGGCCTCGATTCTCGTTCGTCGCCTCACTGCGGAACGGGAATCTGTTATTAGGGAAGATCAGGCCGGTTTCCCCCCAGGATGTGGCTGTATGGACCATATATTCACTTTGCGGCAGGTACTAGAGCAACGCCACGCATACCGCAGACCGACAATAACTGTGTTCCTCGATTTCTAGAGTGCGTTCGATTCAGTCGATCGATCGATTCTGTTCGAAATACTTATGCGGAAAGGTGTTTCCACGAAATATATGAACATCCTTCGTGCTCTATACTCGAACTCTGCAGGCCGCGTCAGGGTCGAGGGTAATCTATCTGATAGCTTTCCGACTACTAGTGCGTTCGTCAGGGTTGTCCGATTTCCCCTTTTTTGTTCAATTTCGTCGTGGTTTCTATCATGGAGTGTTCTCTTGCGGAATCTCACGATGTAGGCGTTGAGGTGCTGCCTGGTGAAAGGTTAGTTGATCTAAATTATGTGAACGATATGGTTTTGCTTTGTTGACGGTGTTGGGGCGGCACAATCAACCCTGAATAGACTGTCCAGAGTGGTGCCATTATTTGGTATGCACTTCGCACCTTCAAAGTGCAAATTGTTGCTGCAGGACCACCAGCCACTTTATGACTCCTTGACCCTTGCTAACGAGGAACTCGAGGTGGTTGATCGATTCACTTATCTTGGCATCTGCATCAGCAATGATGGGCGCATAGAAACTGACGTCAGCTTACGCATTGCGAAAGCCAGAGCTACCTTCTTGAACCTGCGGCATCTTTGGCGACAGAAGGGAATTTCCCTCTGGCCGAGGGGTCGGGAATCCAACGCCACAGTGAGTGCCGTTCTGCTCTATGATAGTGAGATTTGGTCCCTTCGGTCTGAAGATCTGAGGCACTTTCAACTCTTTGATCATTCTTGTCTGCGAAGCATTGCTGGAGTAGGATGGCACCAGCATGTCCGCAACGATGATGTGCGTAGGCGAATGCTAGTTAGTGATAATCATGCTAGCTCCCTAGAACAACAGATAGCACTGAATAAGTTGCGTTGGCTCGGGCACGTGTTACGTATGCCTGGTTATCGCTTACCTAGGAGGGCCTTGTTTAGTCTGCCAGGTGTAGGATGGCGCAAAGCTCGAGGTGGACAGAAGTTGACTTGGCAGTGGGAACTGAATTCGCTGACGACCAAACTGGGTGCCGCTGGTCCGTCTCGCCTTCCGGGCTGGAGTCCACTTGACTCGCCTTGTGCTTGGCTCGAGACCTTATGGGACATGGTTGGCAACCGACACCGGCGGTGCGCCTGCTGCCGTCTCCTAATCGAATTGCGTGTTTAATGTGTGTTTGGTACTGCATTATTTGCTGGGTGATGGCTGATTATGATGCGGTACAGTGAAAGCCGCATGAAAGCTGTCTCGCCCATGCCGCCTTATCTTTGCACGATATTCAGCTGTTTGTGACGGTATGTTGTCTACACAAGATGTAGGCGCCTTGACCCTGAATGTTTGCTTAAGGCATTCAGGTTTTTAGGTAAGTCCCCATTCTCTGCCTCTTCTTATTCTTTATTTCGTAGGTCCTCATGGTTGTATCTCAGCGAAGCATCAGTTCAGATAGCTGATGTACTGCTGTAGATCATGATCATTTTGGTCACGTTGATCTAGGTATTACGCCTGCGCGTAAACACCGAAGACCAAGACAAATCCGCACATAGACACACACAGAGAACGCACTGTATCTTCCAACGTTAAGTTCACTGATTTGGCGGTCAGAAGTCCACACGTAGCCCCGCTGCACGCTGTGCTATCGGAACAAAGGAGCTATTCGGGAACCATTTGATGGTAAGCCCTGAAATTGTCAAGTGGTCAACGTACAACTTTTAGAGGTCTACAACATACTGATTTCTGGTTCCATAGAGTTTACACAGTGACCGTCCAAGCTATGCTAAAGTAGGGTTCAGCGGAGCCTGGGATACTAGTCTGTAAGCCATGACACGTAAAATGTGTCAAATACGACAGTATAGAAGTCGGAGGCGACTGAACCCAACGTATATTGTGCAGGCTACAAAATAGGAAGCGAATCAGACAGAGGGAGAAACGTGCAGCGAGGTACTCACCGAAACGGTTTGTGTCAACGGACGTGCAGTCAGTAAAACAAAAGGACGTTTCGAAGGTTAAAATAACCGTAAAATCCAATGTTACAAAATACTGAAAGAGCTTGTTTTCCGGTACACTACAGTAGTCAACATAGGGAGGTGGTCAACTTTGGAGGTTTTTCTGTATGTGTGTCAGTGTCTCGGGTACACGCTCTTGCGCAGTTAGTGGATGACAGTCTTACGTTGTCGGGGTCCACACATGTTGACACACGAGGTCGAGTGAAATTTACAAATGCTGAGGTGACAAAGCCTGGTGCGTTTCCTGATCGTCGCATTTTGCATTCGAATGTGTTATGATCCACACGTTGAAGCTGCTCTGACTTGACACCGCGGCCGCACGCTGGTTTCAGTTCACACGTTCGTCGAACTGCCACGCCGATGTTGATTGGCTGTGGTGCTGATGGCGGCAGGCCGACACAGCTGACCAAGAAATTTATTCAGCAGATACGGTCGCCTAGTTGTCGCGAAGGTTTACGATGTAGACAAAGAATGGCACCCAGAAGTTTCAAAAGTGGCTGCACATAGCGAACGGAATGTAAGAAAATGAAAGCAGACAGCTTGCTACAAAGCTACTAGATAGAGCTGGTACTTCCGAGTTGAGTGATTGGAACTTTGTTGGTCTGCGTTGGAATGGGTGGGTAATATCCACTACAAAGTGGAGCACAGCGTGATTTAAAAGGTTTTACAGTGTTCTCGAAAAGACCTTTGGATATTCTTCCAAAAAGAGCACGCAAACTGGAATTGAATGGTATATAAAGTCCAGGATTCGTTGAGATTGCAGATAGAAAAAATGTCAGAGCTTCGGTTCGATTGTGTATCGATTAGGTACCTTTCCAACGCCAAACGCACGTTCTCATCATGGGCACGTCGACTTAACAGGTCCTCGGTCATCTTTGAAAGGATGGATATATTTACTGACTTGTATCGACCAATTCACCAAGTGGCCTTATGATGAAAGTATTATCTCAGAGTGAACCGATGGACCATGAGAGTGAACTAGACAGCCTATGGGAGACGGACGTAATTGATTTGCTTATTGGACACTGATTGACCTACATTCGTTTGAGTTACTTCTCATTGTTTAACTGAGTCAAAGGAGGAACTCTATCGGCTCTGTGGGATCGTTAGTTATGGACGTGAACGGGCAACTTATGTCGGGGAGTTTCTTTTGCCATGCCTGCTTTCATTTTCGCTGCACTGGTTTTGCCGAATAAACACTTTTCCCTGAATGACTGAGTTCTGCAACAGGCCGGAGACTGTTCCCATTCTGAACTGCCCTTCGGAGACGTTAGCGAAAGCATTTCTAGAGCGATGGATAGCGCAGTATGGCTATACAACCATCGTGACTACGGATAGAGTCACATTTATTATCAATGTTTGCTACGTTGCTTAGGGACCTACATTGTCGCCACGTCCAGAGGACCACATATCGCTCGGCTGCCAAAGGCATTGTCGAGCGATTTCACCGCCAGCTGAATGCAGCTCTCCGAGTGCGCACAGACCATTCATGTTTCGGAACCCTTCAACTCGGCCTCCTTGGCTTAGAGAACACCGTTGAGACCGATTTCGGTACAAAACCATGATCTGGCGGCTTTCATATTCGGATTTGCCTGTCACCGTGACTTCCATGGGGACAGTCACAGGACGTCTGCGCCCACAAAGGGCCATGCGTGGCTTGCGCTGCACCACCCACAGTTCCACCCTTATCCGGTGTAAACCCGAAGGAATAAGACCGGAAAGCGTGTGAATGGGAGCCACGTTTCATCAACGGAGCCGGCCCACACTCCTTCAACAAGCAGAACGGAAGCATTCCGGCCTAATTGGGAAATCATACACACCAGACGTACACAAGGCGGTGGCTGGACCGTAGCCCGTTCCACACAGGTTGCATGAAAACCACTCTTTGAGCCTAGCACCGTCACGAGGACGGTGCACTCCGTCTCCTCCAGCGATGACCAACTGTTTCCTGGAGCCAGTATGGACGAGGTAGTGGGTAATAGACAGGTAGGCACCTTGTCAACATTCACATCAGGCGCATCCACACCGGGGAGCTCAAGCAACATCTACTTCTGAAATGCAAGATTACTCATCACACAGGCAAACGTACCACATACGCCGCCTTATTGGCCTGGATTAGTAAATCGAATGGGAGCGTACTCATGGTGCTTCTTTTCCACGTGCAAAAGTGCCTTCTGCACCTGAGCAACCACCCCTTTTAGTAGTCCACGGAATTCGCATTGATCCAAATTTGACTTGGATTCGCAACACCAGTAATCAACACGAATTTGTCATAAACTCACCTTCTTCATGTTCCGATAATGTTATTTTCGGTTTGCCCGAGTGCCGTTTCCCTGCACTAAGTTGGTCGTACCAAAGCGATATGAGCATCCTTGTCGAATTCATTCGATCTACCTATATACATTGATTGGGGTCATCCGTGTCCAAAGGCAGTTCGAATACAACATCTACACATGTGTTTATGCAAACATAAGTGTAAGCTGTCACTAACTGGATAGACACATTAGACCTCATGATCAATAGTACGATAAACGTGTATGGGTTTCCTTTGTAGGTCAGGTTAACAGCCACTTTCGCAGGCATGAGAATAACTACCCAATACGAACTGTTGGTGTTTTCCTCAACGTGATAGCCTTAAATCTTGGGCATCCATATTTGAAGGAACCCGATATAGCTATAGTGATGCAACTGCTAGATAGTAGGATAACTAAACTACTGGTAGAGTGAAACAATGTGCACTTAGGTGTTGCAGTCTACATGTACAGTCTGTTTTGCGTAACTGATGGGGGAGATCGCACAGCATCCGAATGATATGGAGTGTCCACTTGTGGCTCTCCGTGTCGCCCATCAGTCCGGTCATCTGGTGCCCGAGATACGTACACATTCTCAAAGAACGATTGATGCGCAACCTTTGTTATTGACAGGTGACATCAACTAAGTCCCGCTGCCCACTGTCAAACATGCGACTTTCCAAACAGTGCTCGTATTGTTTTGCAAATTTCCAAGTATTCCAACGTTTATACATACCCCATGTGTACTCTGTTGTGACCATAAGCATTTGATAAAGATCTGCATCGTGCCTCTCCGAGTGCAGCCATTTGGTACTCATATAACGATTGTCGCTATGCTCCGATTCCTTCCCGATGTAATATACTAATACACTGACGTACTATTCCCATTTGGTTTAACACTTCGTCTATACAACGGATTGGCCATGTGTATTGCAACTTCTGATAGGCGTCTCTGTTTCCGCATTCCACCCGCTTAGTACGTGCGTTTACATAAGCCTCGGTAAATTCAGTATGGCTGAGGAACAACTGGAACTATAACTATGCTCACTCTAATCACTAACCTGCCGAGCGGAACATGAACTGTCGACATCGTGATAATCGCTGGTCGGTTAATTGTCGGGATTGTTCACGCCCCAGAATTTCCAGAGAAATTTCTCTTCAAATGCATAGTCCAATGTGGTCACATGAGGGACAACTGCTGAGTATTGTGTTCCAATTGTCAAACTTTGCACTTTATGCGTACTGTAAGCGGGCAAGCGATGATAACCTTTTGATTCAAGCGTATCTATCGAACTTGAGACATTCTCAATAATTTGCCACCATAGCATTGAGCTGTATCAAGCGCACAATTCGCTCGAGAACACCGCGCGCACTTCAAATGCGAATGAGCTCATAGATGGACTAAACCATTATTATTTGTGGCTCATCCAATGTTCTAGGCAGGTGCAATAAAGAGACTGCATTGCACCAAGTCAGTAGTCAATCATTCTAGAATGAAACAGTGTCGACTATCATCTGGCATTTCGCATTGACCAAGAGGTCGAAATACCTGAGGAAGTCAATGCCGATGAAGACAAGGGGGACTGCGGCGATTGTGAGTACGCAGCGGGACGTTCGTCCCGGGTAAGCGACCGATGATCGTAGGTGGGTATTGGCGTGCCACTGACGGCACTTAAGCTTGTCGACTAAGAAGCGATAGGTTCACCTGGCATAGGGGGAATGACGCTGACTTCCGCCCCGGTATCAACTAAGAACTGGGTCTCGGAGTCATAATCCGTAATGTAGATGAGACGACTTTGGGCTTTGCCAGGACCGTTAGTCGCTATTACGGGCCGACCTGAAAGTTTTGCTGCTTGACGGCGGAGAAACT